CATATTTGGATTATAAGTATATCGATGATCCAGTTAGCATAACAAGTTCAAATAGATGCATCACAACCATAACCGCAATGTATAATATAGGACACATAAAACTACCATCATTAGATTGCGGACAAATGAAATAAAAGATGGACTTATGATCGCATTGAATTTAAACACTAAAAGCAAATAACCAAGTGATTTACTGTACACAATTAATCAAGGCACGTTGGAAGTCCTTGAGACCACAAAAAATGTGGACTAAATACTTAAAAGCTTACACTAAATCAGTCCGAGAAAAATAATGAATCACGGAAATCGCCAAATATTTATATTCATAGATCATCCTTCTGGTATAATTTTCCAAAACCGCCCCTGTCAGCATCGTAGTCCTTGCGGAACTCATCGCGGACCTAAGAAAGAGGCATTAGGCGCAATGCAAAAAATTAATGGCACAATGAAGTCGCTTACCTGTCCTCCTGATCTCCCCCTACCATATTGACGGCCTTCAATAAAGCCAGCATCCCAGTCTGTTCGGATTATCCTGTCATCGAGTCGAGTCTTGTTTACGTACCGCATTGCCATTTCAGCGCCATCTCGGTTAGCATACTCAACAAAGCAAAAGCCGCATGGAGTCTTATCATATCGATGAAGCCCCATAATAACTCTTTCTAGTTCACCTGCTCTGCTGAACAATTCCCATATTTGTTCCTCCCGAGTATAAAACGATAAATTCCCAATATATAAGGTTGTTGAAGCTTTCATTGCTCTTTCACTATCCCTATAAGACATCTAATGAATAAAACAATCCAATACACCAACATCATTTCTTCTGTCTCTATAATTGCTCTTGTAAAACGACTCGTCAAGTATATCGCAGAGCCGTTTATCCCTAGGCATAAGGGCAGAGCCGCGAGTTCAAAATGGTACGCGCCAATGCTATTACTTTTGTCTAGTTCACTAAAATAATTATAATTAATTAATGAAATATCGGGTATTTTCTAATTACAATATTCTTTTTTGTTATATTATGTTTGGCACCAATCGGGCGTCCGTTGACCCTGTGGGTCTCAGTTTTTCTATTCCAAATGTGACTCGTAGTATTAACATTTAATGCTTTAACAGCCAGCCTATCTTATAATTAAAGTATTTTTTAATAAAAATTT